TAAACTTTCACAAAAAAACATTTATTTGCATCCCGAGCCTCTGTTTAAGTTGGAAGCGATCCCCAAACACACTTCTATTCTGGGATTAACGTCTAGGCATATAGGTATTATTTAGCCATATCTCACAGATCAAAATCTCTCCAATGACGTAAACATCGCGCCAAAAATATTTGTATTTTCTGAAATTTTGCGCAATCTTTAAGCTCATTTGTAGCCTACGTCTTCCCTCTAGACAAAAAAAAAAAGTTGTTTTAGGGAGTTCATTGTCACGACTTCTACCTTGAAATAAATATCGACCAGTAAAACCGGCACAAGTTACGCATTGCTGCTGCACCGTTTTCGAGTCCCCGAAGGGGTGCAACGCCAAGCGGCCGGGTCGCTCGAGATCAGATCTCAGAATCACAACTCTCAACTCTGTTTCCCTCGCTTTTAATTCACGCGTTCTGCTCCACGACTTGCCAAGCACAGCAGAAACGCAGCTCTGGTTCGCGTCTGGTAACCCGCGTGGCGGAGTTTCTCGAGCGACAATTCAACCAATGCGTAACTATTCCGCTCGGGAGAGTTACGCACAAAGATGAACACAGAGAAATACCAAGCGCCTGCCCTGTATTTCACGGTATTACCGATAACCCCCTTTTGATTGCGTAATCGGCTGCGTTTTACGCATGTATTTTCAGTTGAAAGCATCACCCTGACACCCAGGGTCGCGCTCAATATTTCTCCCACATTTAACGCAGTTAAGAAAATACGCCGCTTCCAGCTGCGTTAATTACGTGATGCATGACGCGTGGGTATTCATTATGACCCCTTTCAGCAACATTTTAAAAAATAAAAACCTACACGACTGCAACTTTATGCAGCTGGCGGACCCTCATTTTGCTTTATCACTCGACCCTGGCACGGAAAAAGGAGCACGTGTTTTTTTTTGTTTTTTTTTTCTTTTTCGTTTTTGAGCCCACGTTCGCGTTACTTCAATTATGTCAAGGAATTGTGTCATTTTAGTTCGATAGCGTGAGATCCCGGCAAAATCAAAACAAAACATAGCAAAACACAACTTCCGTGAGCAAACATCTGCTAGGATTAACCTGTTACGCATTCGATGATCTCTCGTGTGATGAATTGCACTGTGTCGGTTACTGAATCAGACCTCAACTGTGGACTTGACTGCTTGTTTCGTCCTGGAACAGGATTTTCAGGTGAAAATGGCTTTGAGATTTCTTCACGCGCATACCAGCCAGTTGACATCCAACTATAATAAGTTTGAGAGCCGTGGGAGAGCAATGTGTGAGTTCATCCGGTTGTAATTGTAAGATTAATTTCTTTTTTTTTTGTGACATAGGGGCATTGTGTCAAAATGAGCATGAAAATGTTGTCATATATGACATGACCTAAAAGCGTTTATGCAAGTTTTCCTTCGCATTGCAAAGTATTTGGTAAGCCTAAACTGGTAGTGAAGCACAAATTCTCGTGATTTTGTTAAAAAAACAAAACTCTGGAAAACTGCATGCAAGTACGTGGCATAAGCACGCATTGCACATGCCATAAGCTTAAAAGTAACCCTAAAAGGGGAGGGTTAATTATGTCACTGATTTCCATAACTTATTCCGAAACCACGTTTCATGGCTTTATTCGGCAGTTTAATTGTTCAGCAATACATTTTGGTATAATTTTATGCTTGCAAAAGAAAGCTCTGCACGAAAACTCATTCTGAGGTCACGCAAATGGGGTAGCGATGGCGAATGGGGAATGCGCCTATGCTTTGCTTTTTTTTCTATTACGGGTTCCTACGCATGCGTAATGTCTTTTCACTCCATGAAAGCGATATGTATGCCAAGCCTAAAAACTTTTGGAAATGTGTTCCGACAAGAAATGAAAGACATTCACAAATCTCTGTAACGCGAAATTAGAGTGCATCTCTTGAGGAGGAGGAGGGGAGGGTACGGAGTTCGGAGAGAAGGGTAAACCCTTCCTCCTTCGTACCCTCCCTCCTCCTCCTTCTTAATCCCCTCCTTCTCCATCTCCTCCATTTCCTCCTCCTCCTTCTCTGTACCCTCGCCTTCTCCTCCTCCCACAGTTTCTCCGCTACATTTAGCTGAATAATTGACGCCACATGACCTCAACAAAAATTCAGTTTCCCCATAAATTAGCGGACAAAATGACGTCACATGACTTGGTGTCCCGTCATCTATGAACAAATTCAGTTTTTCCGCTACATTTAGCGGGAAAACTGACGTGACGTGTCCTCAACACCGATTTTCTCGCCAAATTTACCGGGGAAATTTAGTTTCTTCGCTAGATTTCGTGAACAAATTCAGTTCCTGCACTAGATTAAGCGGGAGAATTGATGTCACGTGACTTCAGCACGAATTCAATTGCCCGAGTTCAGCGGGGAATTTTCCCGCTAAATCTTGAGGAGGAACTGACTTTGTCCACTAAATCTAGCGGAGACAGTAAATTTAGCGGGGAATTTGATTGATGTTGAGGTCACGTGACTTCGATTTTCCCGCTACAGTTAGCGCTGCTACGCCAACGCCGACGCCGCGAAACACGAAAACGCGCGCCTATGAGCTGCGCTCTAAAAAGAAGCGCAACAGTTGCGTGGTTCCAAAGCAAAGTTGCTCTGGTTATACCTGTGATTCAAGTGAAATCGCCAACACGTTTTCTGAGCATTTCAAGTCATGTTCTTTATGGTCATGAGTTCCTGACGGTAGCAAGACGTGCCACGGCACAGCCGTTTTTTTTATTTTATGCTAATTGACGAACCTGAAATCAGAGAAAGCATTCGTGATATAAAATCAAAGCTGTCTGGTGGTGCAGATGGAATTCCCAGTTTTATTGTGAAAAGGTACACTGAGCTGCTGACTGTTGGCTTATTTCACATGTTTTATTCATTTTTACATTTAGAAATATTCCCTTCTAGCTGGAAACGCTCTGTTGTTCTGATTCATAAGTTAGGAGATCCTAGCATTGTAAGCAACGATCACCCCTTTTCATTATAATGCAGTTTTTCCAAAGTTTTTGCAATGATAATGTACAGTTACAGCAATGCCCAGCACAGTATGTACAATTACTTTAGAGATAAAATAAACCATGAGCAATATGGATTATTGAAGGGCAAGTTGGTTGAAACCAATCTATGCAATTGTTTTAGATTATGCAGTGTCGTTGGTCCGCGTCCGGGAGCAAGTCGACGTGATATACTTTTATATCACGAAGGAATTCAACAAGGTTAATCACAATTCATATCTGAGAAAATGTGATAAATATGATTTGTGCATGACTTACTGCCATTGGTTCAAAAGTTATCTTTCATGCCGTACAAATTATGTTATTGTGTCAATATCCATCTGCGACTATTTTTTATCGCCTTCCGGAGTACCTTAAGAAAGTAGCCAGGGTCCACTTTTATTTGTCATATTTGTGAATGACATTTCACTTTGTACGAAACATTTTGAAGTGTTCTTGTTTGCGGATGACACCAAACTGTTTCGACATGTACGAACTCACTCCGATTGCGTGCTTCTTAAGAGAGACAAGTCGGAAATTTCCGAGTGGAGTTCAAAAAATTATGTTTTGCTAAATGAACAACAAAAAAAAAAATAGAAAAAAAGAAAAAAGAAACAAACAAACAATGTCTCTAACTAGAGAACACAATTCACTTGTATTTCCTTACAAAATATGTGGCAGCGTTATCATACAGATGTCAATCATTCGCTATCTTATAATCCTTTTATTTCATCATTTAATTTTAATTATCATGTTTTAACTATCTGTGATGCCTCTTTTAGAAACCTTGGGGTGATATCTTGTTTAAAAGAAAATTTTCTTCGCATGTCTTTCTTCTGCGTTTATTTTGTTGCCTAGTGCGCACGAAGCAGGAGTATTCTTTTTCTGTACATAATTGCAGTAATCTCATTGCATTATGCTCGATTGGGCATGTTAAAAAAAACACTTCATAGGCATAATTTACTACAAATATTTTGACCGCATTTTTTACTTAAAAAGACAACAACTTAGGTTGTGGATTTTGTTTGATAGAAGACGATTACGGGGTTTTTGTGTTTTCACGTAAGGTTGTGAACGGTGCTGTTGACTCGCCACTTTTGGCGAGTCAACTGCACCCTTGCGGTCCAATCGAATTTAGTCCCTTATAGACCGTTGCAAAATTGCCTTCTGTGCGCTGCCATCTTTGTCTGCTGGGCTGTGGAAGGCCTTCTGTGCATGCGCGGTTGCTCTGCTCTGCGACATATCAGACGCTGCGCATGCGTCCATAGCTCAGTGACGCAGCAATATTTGCCCATGTGATAAGCAATGGAAAGGTCACCGACACGTCACCGATAGAAAGAACGCAAATTGAATTCAACAAGCTAGATCAATCTGTTGTAGACATCTTTAGCCTTCTGAACATTTTTCGATATACGCTTGGGTTATTTATTTGTACATCGTCATGGCCTTGTTTTGTAGCGTGCATTTATCCTTGATGAAGAGCAGTGTACCACCATTTGGGCCCTGTGTCGTTTTTGGGCACCCTAAAAAAGATTAATATTAATATGATCATATGTAAATAAATTGATTTATAGAAATTAAGGTGGTGTATATAGAAACGGGCGTATGCAATACGTTCTCTTATTTGTTTTTCAAGAACGAAAGCTAGAATTCTAAATTTTTAAAGTATATAATTTGAAGTGTTCAGGCATTTGAGCGTATAATTTCCCGTAAAACACAGTTGTAACTGAGGTCGTTCCCCGAACGCATTCGCATAATGGTTGTATATCCTGTCAATTTCAGACTTGATTCATATCTTTATTTGTCTAAGCAGCTTGCGTACCTTGCTAGTATTTTTATTATATTTCTGATCGGAAACAGTTCCCTTGAAAGTTGGTGACGAGCTATGTGGTTTCTTGTGATCCTAATTATTTCTTATTACATTTTCAGTTTCTCTCGCAATGATTGCGTTGGTGGCATGCCTCCTGTCCGCAGCATCTGCATCTCAGGCCAACATGCGTCCAAACATAATTTTTTTATTCATCGATGACCTGGTTCGTGTCAAACGCGTTCACAGTGCAATTGTGGGCAAAGAAAATGACCTCTTGGGGACAAATCGCTTTGGAAATTCAAAAGTGATGTCTACTCTGTCAAGTAAACGTTGCCCTCGAGCGATATTGCGATATTAGGAACTGATATCGACTGCGATCACTAGTCGTTTAGTAGCTGTGTTGCAAATTTATTGCGTTTGTTCATTGTACCGTCTTCCATTCGGTCCCCGAGTTTACTATGGAAGTCTTGAAAAGCAACTCCGCTCCATACTTTCCATTTTGGGATTATGACTGTTTGTAGCGCAGCCAGCGTCCCTGAATTACAAGGTGTAATTTTTTCTGGTTATTGTGCGTATTTTAAAACATATCGACGCCCCAAAGTTTTGTTTGGGGCGCGACGGACAAAACCGAAACTAGCCGCTCGAGGCCCTGCCGCTATGTGGACGTGACGTCAGGATCGTTCTCGTTCAACGAGTACGCATGCCAAGCTGCACCTATCTCGGTTGCGCTAGCCGTCTAAAGATAGAAGGTAAGGCCATTTTGTTTTAATACTGTATACGTGGTAAATATCCAGCATATGTAGCAAGAGTTAGTGCGTATACCAAAAAGCTAGCGACTGGAAAGCCCGTGAACTCGTTCGGTGCCGTACTAGGCGGCCGCCGCCGTACGTACGCTCTGCCGTACTCGTCGCTTGTCTACCGAAAAGCTAGTGACTGGAAAACGAGTGAACTCCTTCGGTGCCGTACTCGGCGTCCAAGGCTTCCCAAAGCCCACTCGTCGAACAGCATTCACCCACACATTCTGCGATTTCCGGTCCGTTGGAAACTTGTGAAAACGCAACTCCGGTTTGCACAGCGGGTTGTTTGAGCAGCCCACCGCGCTACAAGTTGTACTCGGCATCTTTCGAGGAACAGCTGGGCAGTCTTTGGCGCACCGCGTTGCTCGCTAAAGCGAGTCTTGGAGTTTTCACAAGCTAATAAGCAATAGGCTATACCGAAGGTACACAGGCTACAGATAAAAGCAACTGCTAAACATGCCAATCACAAGCCGAAGTTGCGGCGGTATTGGCTCAATGAAGCACACTTTACACTGCTCGACCGCGCAACGGGTGCGCCCATCCAGAGCGGAGAAAAAAAGAGAGAACGATCCTGACGTCACGGCCCAACGTTGCTTTAGTGATCGGCAACCCGCTGGCTACCCAGCTAAGAAGGAGCGGCTCGCGGCGGGTCGCATTTTTATTATCGGCATTAGTTTAGAATGCGGCGTCCCTCTGACGTAATATTTTGGCTGGGGTCGTATTTTGTGTCACTACGGCGATACCAGTAATTTATTTCATTTTGAGTTTTGGCCGGAGCTGCCCTTTAACCTAGCTCACCTGCATCTTCGTTTTAGTTTCCTTAACAATTTCATATGGCAGTGCGCAACACTGAAACTTGCACAAATTATATTCATTGGAAAGGTTTCACATCTTATTTATTTATTTATTTCGAAAACTCTCAAAGCTAATGGCATTGCAGAGGGGAGTGGAACGTACAAAAATAGAGTTATACAAGCGTACACTAAAAAGGAAAACTCAAATAAAGACAAGGCATGGCGCTGTGCAACATATTAGTACCGTAATATATCGAGATATAGCCCACCTAAAGTCCAGAGTAAATTGGATGAAAATAAGGAGCGGGCTAACTTTCGGTGTGCAATCAAGAAAAGTAAAAAAAAAAGAAAATTCGATGCGATTTTAAGATTTTGTGTCCCGGCCAAACTTGTTATCGCGGTGAGGGGCAATGAAGCAATTATGAATGCACTTCCCAGTCAGCAGTGTTCGTATAAATACCGCCATAGTTAACTACACATATTTTCACCTCAAGAAAAATGAACGCCGTTTACAACTCCCTGTTTACAACCCTCCTCCTCCTCAAGAGCGCAGCTCTTGAGGAGGAGGAGGAGGGGAGGGTACTGAGGGGACGGTATGCCTCTTCTCCTCCCTCTTCCTCCTTCCTCTTCCACCTGCCTCTTTCTCCTCCTCTTCCCTCCTCCTCCATCCTCCTTTTCCCCTTCCTCCCTCCTCCCTTCCACTTGGTGCAGTATGGGAAACATCCCATAATGCAACGCGCGTGTCACCGCCGTGCATTATGGCACGTTTCCCATAATGCACCGCGCAGTTACGCCGACGGCGCCGCGTCACGCCAACGCGTTACGCCGAAGCGTTACGGCTACCGTTATGGTCGCCGTTGCCATCGGTGTAACCGTAGCGTGTCGGCCAAACGCTTTCTCGTGAAGCGTCGTCGTCGTCGTCGCCGTCGACGTAGCCGTAACGCGTCGGCGTAATGCTTTTTCGTGACGCGTCACCGTCGCTCTCGGCGTAACCGTAACGCATCGGAGTAAAGCTTTTTCGTTTTTTGTGACGCGTCGGCGTAACGCTCTTTCGTGACACGTCACGAAAAAGCGTTACGCCGACGCTATATGCGACGCCTAGGCGTCACGAAAAGGCGTTACGCCGACGCGTTACGGTTACACCGCCGGCGACGACGAAGGCGACGGCGACGGCGACGCTACTCAAGACAGAAACGGGCGCCTAAGAGCTGCGCTCTAAAATGCAAGTTTTGCGCATTGTTCATACGCGGCGCGAAGAGTTTTATGAGATTTGCTTGTTGGAGAAAACAGCAATGCTTTTAGCGTCGGGAACGTGCACGTCTTCATAAAATAACCATATATCTAATCTTAAATTCCCCACAGATATCTTAATTATCCACATAAAGGAGGAAATTTGTCATGCTCCGTGAAGAGCATGACTAAGTTCCTCCATTTTTACTACGGTTCTTGAGGTGAATAGGGTATAGACGCTTTTATGCCGAAGTCATCACTGGTCGGAACAGTATGATTACTAGGAGTGTGCTATCTTTCGGTGTTTATAATAAAAGAGCAAACGAAGCCAAATTAGGGGTGAATTACCTTTTTGGGCGTCGCACATTTCTCGAAATTTTACGGTAGAATGGGATTTAAAGACGTGATTTGGCTGGATTCTTGCGAGAAGTGGGAAAGCAGTTCCTGTCTAAGGAGGTTTTTGAGAATCACCGGCTGATGGAATGCGTTAGTATTGCATGTTCGCATGCCTGCTTTATAAGAGTAACCGAGACGCGATAAGACATAGAAGGGTAATGTTAAAATATGCTGACTGAGTGATTGATTAGAATGAAAAATCTTATAAACAAGACACAACTTGCATTTAGTCGTGTGAAGATTGCCATGAATCACACTAACGAGGAATATATTCAATATCGACCTGGTGCTGGAAAACATAAAAGGCATCATTAATAGCGTCATGTATCGTTAATATGGGCATCTACGTCCCCCCCGGTCCCCTGCTCCCCAATGAAAAAAACAAATTACCCATAATGTGTGTTGTTTACACTAAGGACACAAATATTCATATAGTTCCCTAGTGTGATCTCGAATGTATTGTCTTTCTAATAGGCTATCCAGACTAACGGGTATTATGTTTACGATACCCTGACCGTACCCACCTCGCTGCCCTCGAATGTATCGACCGTACGCAGGGCTGGGACGACGTAAGCTTCCACGGGTCCCCCCAGATCCCGACGCCCAACATGGACGTCCTCGCCGCAGACGGCATCATCCTGAACAACTACTACGTCCAGCCGGTTTGCACGCCTTCCAGGGCGGCGCTCATGACCGGACTCTACCCCATCCACACCGGTACGCTAGAAAGCTCTGGCCGTGCAGATTCGTGCGTAGATTCAGTTATATCCAGGTGTTCCTACACTGGTGTCTCCAAACCTAGTCTCGATGCAGTGCGGAGGCTTACATTAAAAGTCATCGCACCCTGCCAAGATCGGGCGACTCTAAAGTCGCAGTTGCAATTGTGACACGTCGTACAAAAGACGCGGAGTTTCTCTGCGGATATGAAGACCAAATTATCCGAGGGCACGGCTAGGGCATGTTTGAATTAAGCGGGTTCGCTTCACGGATATGTATGCTTCGAACGAGTCATCAGACCAATTTTGTTTGACCAGTGTCACGTGATACGGGGAAGAAAAATGCTTGAGACATTGTCTGCAGGCTGCCTTTTGTATGATGTCCTGATCATTGTCTGTCCATATACTAACTGATAGGTTGTTGTCCTTTGTGTCGAAACTGTTTTTTTTTGTCGGAGCCAAAGGCATGCGCAAGGAGCGGGGGACAACATACGCGTATATCCTTCGCGTGTTTACGCTCTTCAATCACGAGCAGAAAGTAATTCCTACGCAGGGTTTTGCGTCACTGCGAGCACTGGTCATACGCGTTATTGCACTGAACGGGATTAGGACTAAAGTATTCTTGGGAGTGACGAAACGCAGAGAAAACCGCAGCAGCGTCCCATTATGCGTCGGCTTTCGGAGAATATTTCGCTTGATTTTGTTTTCCGGACAGAATTGCGGCATTTTTTATACAAAATAACTTCACCGAAGCTTGATCAAAATGTTTTGAACTCGCGAAGCATGACCCACAGCATCGTTGGGCGAAGATCTGTTTTTATATTTTATTATTAGGGAGTTGCACGATCAACACGGTAACTAACGTTTAAATCGGCGACCATCTTGATTTCTTCTTCGAGGGAAGCTTTAGAACCCTCGAGAGAAATCGTGGCTAGAATAGAACACTCACACGTAGTCGTCCATTCTATATCCAGATGTCAGGCGAGGCAGCTCGATAACTAGATTTGTATGTCGCCTTCTTCGTCTATGCACGAAACGATTTTGCCTCACCTAAGAGCAGATTTGTACGCAACGGTAAATTTTTGGCATTTTAATTACTTTTTTGGCGGTAACCTGCGTTTCAATTTGATTATTATTTTTCTGTAATTAATTACGAGTAATCAATTATATGTTTGCGGAAGACCTAACATTTTTCAGTATAGTTTATTTACGTAAAACTATCATATGTGTGCTCATGCGTAACTCGTCTATGTTCTACTAACATTAGGCACTTTTTTGACCCACAAATAATTAAAAAGAGTGTCTTGTTTCCTGTGTACGGGTTGTTACGATTCGTGTTTGCAGCGGCATAGATGACTGTGTTCTGCACCGACTTCAACTTACCAAAACAAAGATGCCCCCCCCCCCCCCCCCCCCCCTCATTCCATCTGGAAAAGGCCCACCAGCCATGACGCGGTTTATTTACTCCTCTCTCTCTCTGGCGAATTCTTTTAGCAATAGCTTAGTTTGTCCTCAATGCGCCCGCGAAAGCGGTCAGGTGCTCTATCTGGACGAGGACATCGAACGATAACTGCAGTTTAAACTTAACAGGCTGTAAATGACGAAAAGAAACAAAATGCAACTACCTTGAACAAATGTATGCATTTCTGTTTTCGTAATAAAGAGTAAATATATATATATATATATATATATATACATATATATTGTGAACGAAGAGAGGAGAATGTGATTATTGAATTTATTGCATTAAAGTTAGGGAAAGGGAGCTGGCGAAGAATTGGACCAGGAGCGGGGATTGAGCCCGCAGCCTTCGCCTGTCCGGGGCGACGCCTTAACCGATTAGACCCATCCAGGCCACTGGTTTCGGCGGACTCAATTTCTGACCAGCTTTTTGTGTACTGTTCAGTTTCAAATTCGCTTAACTTGGTAGACGACAACCGTTGCTGACTTAAGGCCCGCGCTATTTCCGACATGCGGCAGTGACGTGGCACGTCATCTCAGCGAACGACTCCTCCCCATAGGGGAGGAGTGGTTCCTTTTCCGACATTTGCAAGCTGAGATGACGTGCCACGTCACTGCCGCATGTCGGAAATAGCGCGGGCCTTAAGTCAGCAACGGTTGTCGTCTACCAAGTTAAGCGAATTTGAAACTGAACAGTACACAAAAATCTGGTCAGAAATTGAGTCCGCCGAAACCAGTGGCCTGGATGGGTCTAATCGGTTAAGGCGTCGCCCCGGACAGGCGAAGGCTGCGGGCTCAATCCCCGCTCCTGGTCCAATTCTTCGCCAGCTCCCTTTCCCTAACTTTAATGCAATAAATTCAATAATCACCTTCTCCTCTCTTCGTTCCCAATAACTACGGCTGCACTTGTCAATCTTCACTCATTTCCATTATATATATATATATATATATATATATATATAACGTGAAAAGTAATACATTACTTTTTGATAATTTTTTAAAATTATTTTTGTGATGCAGTAATTGATTACTGTAATCAGTTAAAAATTTGAATAATGTAATTGTAACTGTATTCTGTTACTTTTCTTCAGTAACAATGAAAGAACTGCCTCAGGGTGAGATTATACTTTTGGTTGGGAAGGAAGGGTTTTGGAAAACAATTTCTCCGGAATAAATATCCTCGGAATAAAGGTCCCGGAAGAAATTGCCCTAAAAAAATAGCCCCAACTGAAAAAAAAAAAAAAAATGGCTCCAACTGGTAAGGAGAAGAATATTTCCCACTGAACTCATTTGAAAATGAGCAAAGCAGTAAACTGGCAAACTTGCTCCCAACACAGTAGCTGCATTCTGATATAAATGGCTGTATTTATATATATATATTCTTTAAATTTTTTAATGAAAAGAAGCAGGAAGATGCACTTGAACGAAATGGTGTGAAACGTGAGATGAAACGTGAGATGAAAGTCTTGTCATGGCTCCCGAACCAATGAAATTGCGACCTTGGCTGATAAGAATATCAAAGAACCAGTCGCGAAGCAATAAGAAAAATTATAATAAGCGCTGCGTGTCTATGGTGTCTAAAGGGTCTATACTGGGACCCGAATATACTTGCGCGCAATGCAGCTGACCAAGAAGCTTCTCTGGCTGCGTTTACATGGATGCGTCAGTAGAGTCTCAAATTGAAAGAGAACCAATCACACCCACGCCAAGCCCCTCTGTTTCTTCCTCTTCTACCCCATCACAGTCGTTACATCTCGATTCGATCCGCTACAGTCGCATCCATGTATCTGTGCTTTTTTTTTTTCGCGGTTGTAATCTTGAAGGTAAAAACGGACGTTTACTTTCAGTCTCTCCCTCGCAAACTCTAATTACGTAGACATTGGGATTGTACAACGCCTTTCAGATAAAATGGTCGTAGTGCTGAAGTTTTAACTTCACCCCAAAGGAAAACCGCCTGTGTGAGTAGGCCAAAGGCCGACTCAAGCAGGGGGTTTTGCTTACGTTGTCTTTCGTGACGTTATGTGTCACCAAGACATCCGTGCTTCGTATGACAGTATTAATTCATGGAAAAGGGGACCCAGGGAGACAAAAAACAAACACAAATCTCCAAACACAGCTTGGTGACCAGTGGGCGACCGAAAGAATCTGCCTGGTCCTGGTATCGAACCAGGGAGCTGTCCATCTCCAGTGCAGCGCTCTAGCAACTGAGCGAACCAGACGTCGGTAGGGCAAACGGGTTTTATCAGCTGCCATCCGTCTAACACCAACAAAGTGAACAGCCTGCATTTTAAGGTTACGACTATAATGAAATTAATGCAAAGGTGCAAGTGAGCTGGACAAGAATGACAATAACAATCCCTGGAGAGGGGGAAGAAAGTGAACAAAAGGAAGAACACAAATCTCCAAACACAGCTTGATGACCGGTGCGTGACCGAAAGAATGCGCCTCGTCTAGGTATCAAACCAGGAAGGACTCCTCCTCATCCGTACCCTCTCCTCCTCCTGCTCTTCTTCCATTTAACGCGAAATTTTTGCTAGCTTTCCCGGTAAATTTAGCGGGGAAAGTTTTCCGTCATATTTAACGGGACAATGTTTGATCCAAATTTAGCGTAAAAATTTCTCCGCCAAAATTAGCAATACAAATTTCCGCTAAATTTAGCGGGGAGCTTTTGGCTAAATATAGCGGTGAAATTTTTCCGCTTAATTTAGCGGGGACATTTTACCACTAAAGTTAGCGGGGACAATTTCCGCTAAATTCAGCGTTGAAAATTTCCCGCTAAATTTTGGGGGTAACAATATTCTTCTAAATTTCGCGGGAAAATATTTCCGCTATATTTAGCGGGGAAAATGTTCTGCTAAATATAGCGGAGGAATTTCTCCGCTGAACTTAGCGGGGAAATTAACCCATAATGCAATGCGCGGTTACGCCTACGCCGGCGGCGGCGGCGACGCCGCTCAAGCCGGAAACGGGCGCCTAAGAGCTGCGCTCTAAAAATTGCCACCAAAAAAGAAATGCAATCGAAAAGCACTGTTTCGTAATATGTACTAAAGAAACAACATATGATATTTATAGTAATTGGCTGCTCAAGTAACGTTGGGTGTGGCTCAGCATGCTCACACTTCTTGCTTCGCAATCCGTTCTACGGCGTTCGTATCGGTGAACGCCGCTGTCTTACTGCTTGTGAAGCGACAATAATATGCACGGTTCTTCGCCAATCCAAGTAAAGTTACTTTAAATTTGCAGTGCACATACTTGTGCCTAAAATACTGCCAACCATCTCTTCCTCCAGGCATGCAGCACAGCGTCCTAATGCCCGCACAGCCGTATGGATTGCCCCTGGAGGTGACAATCATGCCCCAGCATTTCAAGAACCTCGGATACGAGACTCACATGATTGGCAAGGTGATCACTCGAGCTATACGAAAAGAAACTGAAGGAGAAAAGGAGAGGCCAGCGTGTCGTGACGTCTAAACCCCGAGCTCTGATTGAGAGCATAGTGGGTATGCTCAAAGAATAGCTGTCTTTGTCTCAACCCACGGTGTCTCTCCAACAGCTTGAGCGAAAATGACAGTCGTCTGCTCTTCGTGCAGGGTCTAGCAATCGAACTTCTACCGCCGGAAGTCAGCGTCCCGAGTTCGAACGCCAGACTCTGCGCGGGCAGCACACGGCGTTCTTGTTCGCTATCATTGGAGAAAGACAGCGGCTAAAGACAAAGGCAGCTATCCCTTGCGTCTAGCCACTACTCTTACAATCAGTGCTCAGCCCTCTGACCTAACCAGACGCTCTCATCTCCTTCCCACCTTCAGTTTTCTGCGCATACACATCTTTATATTTGTTTTTATATGTTTCCACGGTGTATATGCCTAGTTGTATTGTAGGTGTCCTTACCTAGCGTTCCTCGTGATTCTACTATGAAAGCATTTGTTGTTTATATTTTTTTTAATCTGTAACTTTGTAGGATGACAATGCAATTAATGCAAAGGGGCAGACGAGGTGGACAAGAACAAGGAAAATAATCCAAAGGAGGGCAAATGACAAACGCAAATTTCCAAACGCAGCTTATAGGCCCGACCACGCTCAAGGTAATGTTCTCAAGGCCATGTCCCCATGGTCGCGTAATCGAGGCTACGTAAGGAACGTGGCTGAAGTGGGAGGTCGCGTAATCAAGGTGACGTAAGCGCCGGTCGCGTAAGCTGGTAACCGTCCGTAGCTGAGGCTGACGTCACCCGACGTCCTTGACGTCGTTCTCGACGTCATCCCAGAGGTCGTCTTTGAGGTAGTTCTAATAGTCGTTCTGGACGTCATCTTTGACGTCGTCTTCTAGGACGTCGTCCTAGACGGTGTCTTAGAGGTCCTCCTATAGGTCGTCCAAGACGTCCTCCTAGGCGCCACCCTGAACGTCGTCCTCGACGTCGACCTTGAGGTCGTACTTGAGGTAGTCATAGATGTCGCCCTCAACGCCGCCCTCGACAAAGTCCTTTAGGTCGTCGTCCACGTCGTCCTCGACGTCGTCCGCGATGAGGTCTGCGACGTCGCCTTTGACGTCGTCTTCGACGTGTGCATGGCACATTACAACCATTTCATCACCGTAGCATTTCCCTTCCTAATTGTTTTCACTAACTACGTTCCTGTAAAGCTAAAATCTTTTTTTTCCCCATACTTATCTCCGTAAAAAACGAACGCGTGGCGCAAGTTCATCTGCTTCTTTTGCAGAGGGTTGCAGTGACGTCAGAAAGAAGCCGGGCTCTGATTGGCTCTGATTGGCTGTGGTCAAAGAATAGTGGGTAGACGTACTTCAAAGCCCTACCCGCTATCCTTCAATCAGAGCCAATCAGAGCTCGGCGTCTTTCTGATGTTACCACGGCCAAAAGTGCATCGTCACGACGCTCGCACGCTCGTCGTCTTCGCGGGTTTGCTCTCCCCGGCCAATACAATCACGCACATAAAAAAACGTAGGATTGCGGCGAGTTAACTCTGCCCTGACTGGTCTACTGAGCGACTACAAAAGCGCACAATGGCGATGACGATGCGCTTTTGGCGCTGTCGATTGGTTCAATCCTATCATGGCGCCGGTTAAGGTCGGACGCGAAAGTGAAACGAAGTTTAGTCCGCTGATGGTGTTAAGATGTATGCAACGCGACGCTGTTAGCGCGAACAGGCCACCGCCGGTTTTTATCAATTTTAGAGCGCAGCTCTTAAGCGCCCGTTTCTGGCTTGAACGGCGACGGCGACGGCTTAAGCTCGATTTGTATTATGAGACGTTTCCCATAATAACATCGCACGTGACGTCACGAAGGCCACTCGTTAAGGTCACGACTTTCGGAGGCTGTTCACGACCTTCACGTGACCTGCACGATTTACATCATGAGTGACGTCACGAGGAAGGAGGGAGGGAGAGAAAGGAGGAGGGGGAGGAGGAGAGGAGATTGAGAATGGAGGAGGGGAGGAGCAGAGGGTGATCGCCATTTTGAATCCTTTGAATGCCTCAAAGCTTCGAAAGGGTCGTTAAGGCCAGTCGCACCAACATCGCTATAGAGCATCATCGTACTGAAAGCGTTCCTCGGCCAATATTAGCGTGTTTAGCAGTGTGCATGCGGTAAAATTGTAACTGATGACTATTTCCCCAGATCTCTTACAATTATGTTGCTCTTCTTGCGTGTTTCAAGAGAGTAAAATTATTTTCAATGCCTCCTAGCACTGACGTTGCGTTTGACGGCGGTACGGAGTTGTACGGCATCACACGCGGCGTCGGTGCTTGGGGGCATTGAAAAATAATTTTACATTCTTGAAACACGGAAGAAGAGCAACATACTTGTAAGAGATCTAGGGAAATAGTCATCAGTTACAATTTTACCGCATGCACAGTGCTAAACACGCTAATATTGGCCGAGGAACGCTTTCAGTACGATGATGCTCCATAGCGATCTTAGTGCGACTGGCTTTAACGACCCTTTCGAAGCTTTGAAGCTTTCAAAGGGTCCAAAACTGCGAACACCATGGCAATTGCCGACAGCGATGAAACAGTCACCCTAAGAAGTGTTGTCGTCCGTATGTTGGTACTTGTTTGCGTTCGGTCAGCAGGTGGGAAGGCAATGACGCTACTTTCCCAGATCAAGTGACTTTAGCTGCGGCCAAACGCGGGCTTGATTATAAACACCGTGTTGATGTAAACAAGGGAATGTAATTTATACATTTACAAAAGAAAACTTTTATGTAAAAAAGTTTACTAGAAGCGGTTAGCTACCCTCTCAATTCTTAGGTCGCTCACTGGAATCGAATGGTACGTTTATGCTCCTAGTGGAACCTGGGAAACTACAAGCTAACGTACACGCCCACCTACAGAGGATTCGACAGCTTCTACGGATACTACAGTGCCGGTGAAGACTATTACAACCACACTGTATTGTGGGTAAGTTGCAAACAGATAAGGGGATTTTGATTTGCTGGATAAAAGGAAAAAAATCGACGACTATCTTTGCGACGATAGCCGTGATTAGGGAATTTTTCTTGAGTCTTCCGATACCACCAATCGCGATATCAGAAAAAAATGCGGTGCATGAATAAAGGCGGCGGCGGAGTATTCGGCGATCGTTATTATAGTAATTCGAACGATCTTCTAAAACTCCCTATGGGCGAGGCTTTGCATCAAATTCCGTCGTTCTTCCGCGCCCTTAGTTCGTCTGCGGCGTACCGGCGTGGACGGCCACGCTTTGCTAATGCCGCGGTGGCGGCCGATGGCCGAGCGCGCGCTCTCGTGAGATGGCCGCGCCGCGCTGAGCTCGGCCGTGCAGCCCCTCCGGAGTTTGCCCGTGCGGGCTCTACTGGCTCGGCGGCCGGGCTGCTGCGCCGCCATGGAGAGGGCTCCTCTGGTGACGTGTCTTAGAACTACGTCGCGCTAGAGCCAATGGGAGCCTTGTCTTTTGTAACTATGACGCGCGCCAGCCAATGGGAGCCTATCCATGAGATTGCTGCTGCAGACGACAGGCTTCGCTTCATTGGGGCAGGGGAGTTTAGGTGCCGTTTGGCGCGGCTTCAAAAGCTGATAATGCCAGTTCACTGCATGGGACCGTAAATGGTTTCGGATTAAGAACAAAAGAGACGATGTTTTACAAACATGCCTCAAAGAGCACAGGGGCAATGGTCCTGAGGTGATGCCACTTCAGTTTCCTTTGAAATCTCGAACTACTGAGAAAAGGTGTTTGCCTGTCAGCCCGTCTAGCTTCCTTTAGGACAAAAGACATGGTACCCACACTTTATTTATTATGTTTTTTTTTTAATTTTAAAAATTATGAACGCAGTAAAATAAATTCCGAATTTCAGAGAATTGGGGATATAACAAAAGTAATCTTCGATAAACCCCGAATTTTAAGCGAAAATTAAAGTTTGAAAACACCCTCCGGATTTCGCGAGTTATGAATTCCGAAAACACAGAATCTTGCATATAGGTAAATTAAGTTTTCTTGCACAATTTAGTGAAAAAAAGCGATTCGGTATTTTTTTCCCAATGTTTAGCAAGAGGGAAAAATTTATCTCACGTAAAGTAAACATCAATTCAGGTTCCCCACAAAATTTGGCGCAGGAATGGTTAAAGTTATAGGTTTCCCTTTACTCCCTAAACAACAGTTCATGGTATTCTAAACAAATTGAAACGATCGCTACTTAGTTACTGCATTACGTGCATCTTAAGATTTTGGGGTTAAAAGTTGCTGCCAATTTCTCCTTTTTCTTCAGGACAATCGAACTGGGCTCGATTTTTGGCTGAACACCGAGCCGTTGAGGAACGTAAGCGGAATTTACTCCTCTCACCTATACACAGAAAGAGCAAAATCGCTCATCGAGAACCGCGATGCTTCAAAGGTAATAAGATTCGCTATCTCTCTTGCGCACCACTGATCAAAGCAACGAAACAAAGCGGATACAGATAGTGACTTTGCCTGAGACTGGGGTTTAAGAACAGGATAAAAAAAAAATGCATCAACGTGTACATGCCGTACTGTTGTGAAGTCCGAGTCCCGTGTGAGACAGAAAAGAAATAATAACTTAAAGAAATAAAGTAAATCAGATTTATTTGAGTTAAGTCTGATTTAGTTCATGTAAATCAGATTTATTAGATTTAAATTATTGTATACCCATGAACGGTGTGCTTCTTAATCACTAGGACTGTTCTTAAACAAACAGATTCATGAACCAATCCATCCGATCACTAAAAAAAAATCCGGAGGAAGGAATGACTCTAAATTTGAAGTGCATTTTAATTGTCAGCTTGTTACTGGATAAACCCCAGTTGTTTCGATGCGGTTTACGATCTGCTGTCAAGCGTTTCGTACGCTAACCCTGAATGTTTTTACGTCGTAGGTGAGTTGCTTTCTCTACCTACTTCGTAGATTCCTTGCTTGTTTTGTGACCGGAAAGCCCAACTGTTCGAGTGTGCGCGTTGGAATTCTGCAAACAATGGGCATTGAAATCTGTACCTATAGGGCCTGTGTTGGCGGTTATTGTCCTAAAAATAAGGTGTGAAATTAGAAAGCGCTTTTGACGTTTTGATCTTCTACCTTTTGCCACGTAAGGGATTCCCGAATCCTCACATTTTGTTGATAGCGTCCTGCATCGCACAGTTGCTTCTTTGTTCGCATGGCATCGGACCCAACCCTGGACCTGTTACTGTGAGCGAGGCTAAGCTTGACGAAATACTCGCCAAACTGAATACCGTTATTTCTGATAATGCGAAGCACCAAAGTGAAATCTCACGTAAAATAAACGAGCTTACGTCGGGAATTGGCGACCTAACTAACAAGCTTTCAAGTATTGAGGGTGCGTCTAGTGCAAATAAAGTTCAGAACGAAATCAAACTCACAAATAAAATTGTCTCCGACATAAAAAAAAAGACGGTGGAGGCAAATTAATAGAAACCACTTTGGTGATTATCGATTAATGCGATAGCATTTATTGTTGTACACACGGGCAGCTGTTAGGTTCCCCGCTAAATTTAGCAGGATACCTGAATCGGTGAATAAGCCACATGACGTAAATGTTCCGCTAAATTTAGCGCGGAAGCAGAAATAATGCATAGGTCACGTGACGTCAATTTTTTGCTAAATTTAGCGGAAAAAAGTATTCGAGGCCGGAATATACCTAGGTGAAAATCTTGGGTAGTAGCTTAAAAGGACACTGACAGGGTGCGTATGCTCGCAGACGTTTTTAGTTGCACATGACATTTGAGAGCCCAACTACCCAGAACAGGATTCGCGGCTCGAAATTCGGTTTCTTTCCTTCCGAAAACCACCGGTCGAGAACTGGCCGGTTTGAGTCACGCTCATTCTCGTCTCGAAGGTCACGGGCCGTTTTCTAAGGTTAAGAAAGAACCACCAAATTTAATCAAAGTTGTGGGTCATTGAGTGCACACACTCCATATTCAAAATAGAAAAAAAGGTAAAACCCTTTTTTTGTGGCTTCTAGAAAACTGCAACTACTTTAATTGAAAGAAAAAAGTGGCACAAAGAACGGGAAGCATATCGTTCGTTCACTGCGTAATTCTCACCATGGCGTCGTATCGTGGGGCTCGCGGGCTGGACGGCGATGGCAGCGGACGACGTGAGTGGGACCTCTACTTCAGAACTGTCATTCGCGCTACCGGCGATTGTGTCTTCCTTCGAAAGAGAACACGCCCGACCACAAAGGCGATGCGAACGAAGACGTCACCGGGTTGTCGCCCCTTCTTCTGGTCGAAGACATCGCTCGGGCAATTGGCCCCTTTTGGGTCTCGTGTAAAACGATTCGTCAAAACGACTATTTATAACTACGGAGTAGGTCAGTGGAAAAGTGTTCGCCTCACACGCAACGGACCCAGATCCGATACAAGGCAAGCTGTTTTTTTTTAATATTTTGCGATATTCACATTTCTTTTCCTACAATTATCACTGGAAAAAACAACAACAACAACAACAGGTGTTGTTCACAAAACGTCGCTGAACTAAATGGGATGGGACTTTCTTTTTGACACCTGCGAACTCAATGCAGTCACTTCGCACAAAATGCAAGGAGGATACAAATCGGGTCGTGTCCGCTTTCCGAGGTGCCCGTAACGGTTCTGCGGAATTGCAGCCAGCCATTATTCCCGATCCCATTGATCTTTCGGAAACTTGCGGTGACTCTGCCGCACAATGCCACTTTTGGATGAAGAATCTGTGAGGCAGCTTCCCTCGCAACATCTTGGAGGCATTCTTTTCGAAGGCGACCACAAGCATTCACCACTCATTTTCCAACCCTTCAATGTACAAAACAACTCATCTTGAAGTGCAGAACAGCGAGCGCAACAAACATAACTGCAAAGCAATCGCACGGCAAACGGCAACCGCAACGCTGTGTAAAAATCTGCTGCGCGCGGCCAAACAACAACAACAACAAAAACAGGAAAAAAAAAAAAAAAAAAGCTCGGTCGTGTCCGAGTAACTTGCGCAGGTTTCGGTTTCTGATTGCAGCAGTTCAGTTTCTTGTCTTTATATAAAATATACGTGACATTGTAGCAAAATGTTAATTGTGTTGTTTTTTGACACCATATTTAATCGGCCACGCGAAAAAATGAAAAATGATTTTTCGGGGGTGTCCGAGTCCCTTTAATAATACTATCCATTAGAACTTGAAAACGTGTCTGCAAAACAACAAGAAGTGGTTTCTCGAGTGTAGTAGATAATTTCATAAGCCAAAAAAGAAGGAAAAACTCGATAAACAAGGAAATTCCCGAGAAAAAAAAAAATGAATGGCGGTCCCAGACGGAAAGCATCGCACGATATTTTCAAACGGGCTACAGGTAAATGCCGCCGATATTGCAAAAGCGCCCCGTGTTGCTTACAAGAGAGAAGGCTTTACTCGACCGATCATTGTTAAATTTATAACTTTTAAAAGCAAGCAAGAAATTCCTTATGGGGCGTCAAAGCTAAGGCCAACTGATCGACCACGAGCGTTGATTGAAGATTGCTCACCAAGAGTGCTGCGAAATCGTGAAAAGGTTTGGCATTTTGGGGAATCGTCACGAACTGCAAATGATCGAGTAAATCTTTCATTTGATAAACTATTTGTCAGCTTCCAAATGTACATGTGTTGTACATGTACATTTGGAATCTGATAGTGTGTCACTTGCCTCGAGAAAGGTTTGAACTGAAAACGCGGCACGTGATGGTCAACAACGCCATGAGAAAAAAATACATCTAAATGCAGAAGAACTATTGCCTGCGATAAGCAATGTCCGTCTCTTTTTTAGAGCGCAGCTCTTAGGGGCCCGTTTCCGGCTTGAGCGGCGTCGGCGTCGCCGTCGGCGTCGGCGTCGGCGTAACCGCGTGGTGCATCATGGGAAATGTCCCATAATGCACCGCGCGAGCCCCCCACCGGGGTCACGTGACCTCGTGGGGGTTGCACGTGACCCCCCCCGAGGTCACGTGACCCCGGTGCATCATGGGAAATGTCCCATAATGCACCGCTCGAGCCCCCCACCGGGGTCACGTGACCCCTGTCATGATTCTAAGGCATGACATAAAAGGAAGTTGAAGGGGCAAGAAGAAAGAAGATGATGCCACGTGAGACAACGATTTTTGGAGGGGAAGAAAAAAGAAGAGGACGGCGTGAGAGTCAGAATCGAAGACTGAGACCGGGAGGAAGCGGCGGATGGGGTCCATGGCTACGCTCCAGGACGCGCCCGACCCTTGCTGTGCACAAGCTGTCGCGGCGAGGGTTCCACCCTCCCCTTCAGACGCCTAGGAGACAGGGGCCTTCGCTCACTTGGGCAAGTCACTTCGGTTCGTCGACGCAACGAACTTAAACTACCTGTCGTGCATCCTGGAACGAAGCAGTGCTTCGCTCTCTGCTTTTTCTTTACGCCGAAGGTTGACGGGGCAATGTCCATGGTCTCCACGTGTCACCTGACTGACGGGCATGCAGGAACGGTTGAAATAAATTCACACGAGCGCTAACGAACAGATGAAAGCGGGCGTGAACTCGTCGCTACCCGCCTTGCCGCACGGAAATCAGTGCGCCAGCTGCCCGCGCCTAGCATACAGGCTGATTAGAGCGCCCCTGACGGTGATTTTCCAAACCGGCCGCGGCGATGCATGGGAGAGCCGGCGCGCTCGACACACCCAACTCTCTAGCCACCCTAATAATGGGTTGTAAATTATTCGTTTTCGGCCTCGCCTCTATCGCATTCGCAACGCCTCCGGCCGAACCGTGACAATGGCGAGCCTGCCAGGATACTTCTAACATCCTGATATTACGAAGTCCGAGAGGCGCGAATGTTGATGGAGATATGCCGATACACAGAAGTGTAATTTAGAGCGAGTCATTACTAGGCAAAACATGTGCTGGAAGTGAGTACTCAGTCTCATTATTTCTTGGCCATGGAAGTTCCTTAAAAATAACGCTCGAAGTGCAAGTTGATAAGATGGATCTGTGTAAAGTACAAGAGATTGGAAACGCTGTAGGACTAGAAGGGATCGCACTGAAAGAATGGTTGAACGGTTTGCTCGAGGCAGAAAAGGCTGACCTGAGAGAAGAGCAAAAGTGGCAAGAGTTGCTACAAAAAGAAGGCGAGCGGGGACGTTTTGCCTCGGGAAAGGAACAAGAGTGGAGAGAAGAAAGCGCCACGGAAATGGCACGCATAAAGACGGAATGCAACCACCTGGAGGAAATGATAGCGCTGCTGGAAGCTGCAGAGGAGGCACAAAATGGTGCGGAAATGTCGAAGGATGACGTCTCACTGCAGATAGAAGGTCCACAACGGAGGAAAGCTTCGGAGCTTATAGGAAATTTTGACGAGGCTTGTCCGCTTGTCGCAGAAAACGACAAGATGAAAAGTAAGAGAGTGTCCT